TTCAAAAAACCTTTTTCCTGGTCCGATCGACTTAAAATTTTGACACGTTTCAAGCGAAGGTTAGTACTCTAGAAAGACCTGGTTACTGGTTTACTACGAGTGCCATCTCTGGGTTAGTCTCGGGAGTTATTGATCGATGTGTTAACATGGGCTATTCACCTATTTCGCTTCAGCTCACACCTGTGTTCTCTTTCTGATATTATTTGTAATTCCAAATAAATGAAACTTGATCTATGAAGATTAAATTCAATATAAGAAGTGTAATGCAAGGATTTAATGAGACACTTATATAAGTTATGAGAACTTTTAGTATTAGAATTAGTAGAGAGTATTGGATAGCTGGAATATGATAGAAATTGCAGTTTAATAAGCGATTATCAGTAACAAACCGACTTCGATTAAGGATCATTTGTGAAGTTATTTAGCTCAGGAAGAAATCGAGTTTCACACTCAAACCATCAATATTAGTGATATCACTTTCTCTAACCCGATTAATAACTAAGAATTAACTTATTAAGCGGGATTGAAGTAAAAATAAACTTGGAGTATTACTCCAAATTATAATTCAGGCACGTGTTCAGGATTAATGGACTGAAAGAGAAAGAGAGAGAGAAATAGAAAGAAGAGAGAAATACAATAAGAGAAACATTAAGTGAAACACATTCATAATTGGTCGCAAACTTGATCTGTTTTGACAGTTATATTTATTGAGCTTTATAGTGTGGGAATGTCCACCACTTGAACTTTTCTTTAATGACTATTTTACGTTGATATGACTTCTGAAACGAATGACAGGGTGATGTTTTACATGTATTATTAGTTATACCTTATTATTATTTATTCAGTTATTCATTATTAATAACCTATTATTATTTGTGAAACCCAGGAAGGAACATACACTAAATATTACATTTTTCTGTTTATTTGTGTATAATTTTATATTCGATGTATTCAACATATCTAATTGTCATCGAATACCGTTTTATTTTATTTGTGTCTACTTTATACTAACGTTGATGGAAGAAGAAATCCATCTGAAGTAGAAGACGTCTTAGATGGGTCTGTAGCCTGTACATAATTAACTAGAATATTCTGCGTGAAAAATGATTAATCACCTGTGCTATTTTGTAATTGAAATTCAATTTCAACAACAATTGTTCAAATTAATTTGAATATTTCCAAAGTAATTACTCTCTCTTGAACTATACTTATCAATTAAATTTTTAGAACTCTTGTTTTTTTAAAAATTGTTTGTATATAATCTCTAAAATTCTTTTGCTTAAAATATTAATAACTAGCTTCAATATATATAAGTAAGGGAATTGATGTTTTCAAGCCTTAAATTTTTAAACAGTTCTAATGTTTGTTTAACTATGTGATTGAAAAATGTTTCAAGGAGGGCATTAAAAAAACATCTTATTAGGTGAATTTTTCATTTTTTTTCAGACAAATGCACCAACTCACATCATAATTTTAGAACTACTTTTTTCGATGATCATTTATAAATGCTTTCTTTTTTTTCTGTGCTTTTTAATAGCAGGAAGCGTGAAAGCAGAAAGAAAGTAAGTGTGACCGAGTTTTCATGTGATATAATTAATTTTCTAAAAGGGGCCATAGGATATTTGATTTTCTTTTCATTATTTAATAAACCAATATCATCTTACCCTTTATTCGAGGTAATAAATATTCCTTAAATTTATTTATTCTGATAGACA